AGCAGGCGGGGGGGAGCAGAAATTAAGGGGGGGAGAAGGGCACGGGACTGGGGGTCCCAGGGACCCCTCCAGGGGGTTCACCAGGAGGGGGGTGACCCAGCTGTGCTTCCCCCCAGCCTCTTTGGAGACACCCAAATCCATCTGGGCAGGGGCTGCCTCCAGTCACGTCACGGGGGCGGGGCGGGGAAGAGGGAAGCAGTGACACAATACCTAAAACTTCCCTTTTCTGCCCCAAAATCGCTTGAGGCTGAGGCGGCAGCACGGTGGGATCCCGCCGGGGGGGAGATGGGGGCCCCCAAAATCCCTGGGGACTGGGGGACAGGGGGGTCCCTAGAGTGTGGATGAGGGGTCCCTGGGGTACTGGGGGGGGCGGTCCCAGGGTACTTGGGGGGCTCCCTGGAGTCTGTGAGGGGGGGTCCCTGGGGTGGTGTGTGGGAGAGGCCCTGAGCCCTGAGGGGGGTCCCTAAAGTGTAAGGGGGATTCTCTAGGGTTGGTATGTGGGAGAGTCCCTGAGCCCCAAGGGAGGTCCCTGGGCTTTAAAGGGGGTCCCTGGGTTGCTGAAGACATCCCTCACTCCTCTCTCTCCCCCTCTCCTGCCTCTCAGGATCCCCCCAGGACAGGGTAGGATGTACGCCCCACTGCTGGTGACACTGGTGACACTGGTGACAGTGCCCACGGGCGTCTCTCCCTACGGCTTCCGCAACTGCATCCAGGCTCCGTGGGACCCGGGGCTGTTCCGCTGCGTCCAGCGCTTCCTGACCACCGTGGGGGCTGCCGTGGGTGACCTCCCCCCCAACACCACCTCCCTCAACCTCTCGGTCAACACCCTGCACCAGGTGCCCCCTGACGCCTTTGCCCACCTCCCGCGGCTCCGCACCCTCGACCTGACCCACAACCGGCTGGATATGCTAGCCCGGGGGGCTTTCCGGGGGCTGCTGGCACTGGCCCAGCTGGACCTGGCCCACAACCACCTGTCAGTGCTGCCCACGGGGGTCTTCACCGGGCTGGGCAACCTGAGCATGCTGCGGCTGGACCACAACCCGCTGCTCGCTGTGGCCCCAGGGGCCCTGCGGG